TCACCCGCGCCGGTGCCGGCATCCACGCGGGACCCGCGCAGGGGCCCGCCCTTCCCTGTCCATGACTCTCTTCCTTTGTTTGCCAGAGCCTCGGAAAGGGGACTCCTCCGCTTAAAATACTCTTAAAAACTGACGACGTTGAACAATTCTTTTTTTGCTGGCACTGCATGCCTCGAGCCGATGTATTTTCCTGAGCGCTCACTGCGTTCCAAGAGCAGGGGCGACAGGGTAAGCGAGGGGCGTGCCTTACCCTCGAAGACCAGGGAGAACTGGCACTTGCTGGGCGGCCTCTGTGTCCCAGGCACACGCCTTATTTCGTTCGCCCCTTAAAACAACCCCTCGTCACAGGGCCTGCTCATCTCTGCTCGGCCCGAGTGGAAAATCAGGTTCAGAAAATCGCTCAGAATTACAGGGCTAAAGACGCTGCTGCCGGCTGCCAGACCCCTGACTGCGGGGCCTTTGCACTGGCACGTGACGCTCGGCCCGAGTGGAAAATCAGGTTCAGAAAATCGCTCAGAATTACAGGGCTAAAAAAGCTGCTGCCGGCTGCCAGACCCCTGACTGCGTGTCCTTTGCACTGACACGTGACTGCCTCCCGGGAGCTCCAGGTCTAGTGCGAACGCTCACAACTAAATAATTACCCACAGGGCCGAAAGAGAGGGAGGGAAGGTTCAAGGTGGCCATCTGAGCAGGGACGTCTAACTAACTCCCCACTTATCCTGAAATGTTTCCACTGCAATCGCCTGGAAATTCACAGGGAGGGGACATTCGCATTAAGCCAGGGTGGCAGCAGAGGGTGGAGTCCTTTCCTCCAGGATAAAGGGCAGATGGAATCGGACTGGGCCAGGGAGGACAGTCCTGGGATTTCCCGTGTGGAAAGACACCTCCAAAGAGCAACTGCCAAGAGGAGGTGACAGAGGCACGAGGTCCTTCCCTCCAGGATAAAGGGCAGATGGAATCGGACTGGCCAGGGAGGACAGTCCTGGCATTTCCCGTGTGGAAAGATACCTCCGAAGAGCAACTGCCAAGAGGAGGTGACAGAGGCACGAGGCCAGGATGAGGCCAATTTGAGAGGTCAGATGTCTGTCTAGGGAACTGTCCCCAGGACGTGAGTCCTCCCAGAGCCAAAGACCCTGGCAGTGCCCAGAGCTCTTTAAACTAAAAGAAAGACCACAGTCACCGCCACCACACCAGACCTCAGGGGGCTCTTCCAAGTAACGCCTACTGGCCTGGTCTCAGATGCTGTCACGTTCAATACAACACTAGTTTGATAGCCAAAAAAATATTTGATACGAAACTTAAATGTTAACCAAAAGCTTGTTGGAAACAAACGACATGACATTCACAACGCATACTTCTCCATATCCTCGTTTCTCTCAAGCTCGGCTGCTATTCCGAAAGACTCTCTTCCTTTGCTTGAAAAACAAAACAAAACAAAACAAAAAACAAAAAGCCCTAAATTCTTTCCAAACTAACCCACACTGACCTGTGTCTTTTTCTCTCAACTCATTCACCTGACAGGTGGAGGAGATCTCATCGACATATATCACTTCTACAGTGGTTGAGAGGTATTTCTGGCTCGCGAGTAAATTTCTGCCAGGTTCACCGTTAGAACATCAAATCTCATCGTTACTCATAACGCAAAAAGGCTCGGGTACCTAGCTGGAGATGAGAGAACCCGCGAACACCTGAGGGGGGGGGGATTTTGCTTTCCGTCACCAGGAAAATAAGAGAGTTGAACCATTTCTCAGGATGCTAAGACGGCCGGACCGCCGAGATTCCTTTCTGGCAGACTTAGGTCTTTGATTCTCCAACACCGTTGCCGCGGGAACAGGGAAGAGTGAAATGGAATCTCTATCCCAGGGTTTTTTTTCACTTTGCACAGAGTGTGAATTTCAGAGGAACTTACGGTTTGGCTAGAGGTGTTGTTTTTTGGGTTTTTTCCCCTCCCGTTTTTTCCTTCTCGAAGCCAAGGTGAAACGAAGGCTTCGGTTTTGTTCTATAAAAATCTCCCCCAAATATTAAGGATGCAAATATAAATGCAAGCAGCTATTAGAATTAGATAATGCTGGGAATGTAAATCCAAACACAAAAGCACTTTTGTTCCCCAGACTGGCATGTCTTTGAAGCTCCACTGTGATTTATTCACTACAGGGAGGAGGAAGTTAAAATGATGCTTTTCAACAAATTTTTATTTGAAGCTTGTAAAACTAAATGAAGTATCACAGGAGGAGCTTAATCTCATCATAAAACAACGGAACTGTCAAGTGTAACAAATGGTGTGTATTTGGAAGGCTTTAGTGTTACTAAAGCTGAGTTAATACCAAAAACGATCGCTTATAATGTCAGTGAAAAGAGTTAAAGCTTGGTTGACCTTGAGTCACGAGGATGCTTGTTTTACACCAAACTACAGCTTCTCTGAAATTCCCAATCCCGTGTCATAGCCTCTTCTCCTGCAGTTACTATGTGTTTCGAAAATCGACACCATTAAAAATTTAAAGATCAATAGGTATCACTTTGGGTGCTGGCTGACAGGTAATTCGACACATGTAACATGCGTTGTTATGTACACGTAACAGAAAACAACATGTTTTCTGTTGCTGTATCTGTTCTTGGTTGGCGTTTTCCCCTTTATCTGCCTTCTACTGGCTTAACCCAGTTGTTCTTAAGATTCTTTTTTTATCTCCTTTACTGCATTGTTTTCTATAATTTCGTGTTTCATTATTTTCGTGGTTGCTGTGGGGTTTACATCATATATATGATAAGAGACATGACATATGATATAAATATAGATATATCATGACCGTTTCTTATATTGTGCATTTATGATATATCACATATCAATATAAGACACAGATATGTCTTATGCAGTTTTTCACAGCTGATCTTCAAGTGATATTATACCATTTCATGTATGGTTAAGAACCTTCCATGTCTTCCCTCCCAATCTTTAACCGGTTAGGGCCTCTATACAAACTTTTACTTTTACACATGATCTGAATCTCATAATATATTGATATAACTTTTCTTTAAACAGGCGATTATTTTGTAAAGATATTTAAATAATAAGAAGGAACTATTAAATCTTGACCCACATGTTTATGCGTGTACCCCTTCTGATGCCCTTCATCCTTTTGCGTAAATGCCCATTCCCATCTGGTAGCATCCTTCTGCTTGACAGGTGACCTTTAACTTCTAACTTTATAGCGCAGGTCTGCTGGTGATCGAGTCTGTCCACTTTCATATCTTCTAAAGTCTTCATTTTGCCTTCATTTTTTGAAAGATATTTTTGCTAGGGACTGACTCCTAGATTGACATATTTTTCCTTTTAATGCTTTAAGAGGCTGGTCCACTGTCATCTTACTTGTATTGTTT